TATACGTATACAAATAAAGAAAGGGAATTAGAGACACTTCTGCAAATTTAAACGATATTAAATGTCACTATAGAAAAATCAGTTTTATTTTATAAGGAAACATTTCTATTACATATATTTTTATTCTTGTGAAAAGCATTCGTACGTTTTAAGTATTTTCACGAACAGAATAAAATACATCTATATTGCGTGTAAATAATCCATTACCGCGATGACTATCTGTTGTTTTAAGTTGTAATAATTTTCGGAATGATGATCATGATGGCGATTAATTAGAATTTATTGTATGTATAAGTAAATATACGTATCCTCATTTTGAAATAACTCTTTTCCGCAAATGTGAACCCGTACCACGCGTTGATATCGTTATAATAACACTTCTAGTGTATGACTATAGTAATTCTTAAAAAACTAAATTTATACTATGCAGTGATCAGGTACACTATATTGTATATACGGCCGTGTTAGTCGAATTGCCTTTTGTTTCGTGTATATTGTTCGGTCCCGCGATGTTACTATATGTATACTGTAAAATATAATGTAGAACGCGTTTAAAGTGCGCTTAAACGTACACTAATGTCGTATTATGTACCCTGTAATACGCGTTTAATATGATTAAAGTGCGTATAATGTATAATCGCGTTTTTATATACGAATTTATAAATATTTTAAGCTTAATGGGTATTAAACGTCTTTGTGTGCAGTTATAATAATAATAAAATGCGTTCTGTAATGGTCGACACGAGCTGTACTACAATAATAGTGTACTATGCTGCGGTGGGCGTTAACACGGGGAGTGAGGAGGTTCAACTCTCCTCCTAAGAATTTTTTCGGAAAATACAATATATTTTAATACCATATTTGTTGCGCACAACAATCGCTGTTCGAGGGAAAACTAGATGCATTTAATGAGTGACACGTGTAGAAATTATATACTATTGTAATTATAAGAATATTGTAATACAGTCGCGACCATCTACGTGTAAATGAAACTTGCTTGAAAGTACGACACAAAAAAAAAAAACTGTGAACGAAAAACTAGGATTCAAAAGTGTTAACGGCATTGTAGTGTTTGTATTTTATTGCGATTCGCTAAAAAACAGACCGGTTCAAAAATCAGCACCGGTGGTCTTTGGTTCGATGGTTTGGCGATCGTGTTCGACAACAAACATTTCGATGACAAATTTGCTACGTACGTTTTAAAAAGTTCTTATTCATTTTTATAGTGAATAGTAGTTGAGATTGTAGGGCAACTTATCGATTACAAAATATACTCGAAATGCGAAATCAAGAAGAATAACGTCTTCACAACGTTTTTCCGATCGTTCGGTTTACTTTTGTTTCAGACTACATCATTTTTTTAACAGTACGACGTTTGGTACGCTTTAATAATCACCCGGTTGCCCTGGTATCGACGTGTAATCCGTCCCGTACATTGTATTGTGGAATCGGCTAAGTCCATCTCCGGCAAGGAACGCATGATCTTTGGGAGGCTTCGTTATTGTCACGCAGCTCACGTCTTTTATTCCATAAGTGTCGTTGTGCACGGTTACCGCGGTCCAGGGCCCGGCATGGCGTTTCCCGAGCGTGACCCGTGGCGTCAACCTGCAGTGAACGGGGAGCGGCCTATAAGATGTCCGTTGAACGGTCAACTTTTCCATGGACCTGCGAACGTTCGAACAGCTGAACATGTTTGATTAAAATTTTTGACTAATATATATTTAATACGACAAATTATAATCAAAGTATAAATAAATCGATAAAATATAATATCAACGCTTAACGTTTCAGTCGCCCAGGTAACCTTAATACATAACTAGTAGGTAATAGCAAATAAAAATTGGCCACAAACATCATAGAATAGACACTCGATCGGTTTGACTGAATCTGATTTCTTGACCGAAAACTGATCGGTTTAACTAATTTTTATTTAAATTTATATCATATTTTACAATATGTTGCCATCGAATGTTGTGAAACAACGGTGCCCCTCCGATAACACTTCCGAATCAACGCCATTTCAATTTCTTGAAGATTGTCTTTTAAACCTTTTTATTCGATTCTGCGTACATACTTCCCTCATAATTACAAATAGAAACTTAAAAATTGTTAGTGTAACTATAGTACCTTATGTTCTATAATAATAGCGTATCCAGAAAAACGTCCCTGGATTGGCTGTAGATAATAATTTTGTGCGCGTTCCAATATTGTACTATATTTTAATATTTAGCTGACGTATCGTATATTATAAAATGTGATAAATCGATCTGCCATTCAGGCGACGAACCACATATTTCTTTTTTCCGTACTGCATATATATAATACGTGCCGTGTTATTTCATTATAAGTGAGCGGCGGTAGCTGCAGGTGGCTAAATCTAGGAAATATTAAAATAAACTGACGAAAATTCCTCTATCCTATGCTTCAAATCGTTTACTCCTGAAATGACGTTACATTAGAGTATTAGGATGCTGTACGTTATATTTATGCATGTAACGATTTCATAAAAATATCTTTTTTTCGGGCTTAAAAATGATTGCAATAGCTCATTGAACGAACACGTTGCAGGAACATGGATTAAAGTGATTTACGGTTACCAAACGTATGCGTAAATAATGTTATTATTAACATGTTCTGCGCGCGCAACTCGAAAAACAAAAAGAACAAAAAAAACAAAAACGACAAATGTTTTCCTAATTCGCATTGCACGCCGCAGTTGTTTTATGGCGAGAACGCGCGAGGGCGGCAGCAGCAGCAATGGCAGCTTCCGACGTAACGTAATAATATAATACAACAATGCGCGCAGATAGTACGCGCGAGATAAGCGAAAAGAAACTATTTAGAAAACTCGCGCGCGCGCGCACGTATGGTAGCCGCGTGCACACGTGTTAAATCGAGAACGGGCATTGTGATGCTCACACACGGACACACGTATTTTACGTTCGCAGGGTCAAATGTTAGGTTACACGACGTACCGAGCTGGGACTGTTGGTCGCGCATTGTTGTACCGGGCGGCAACAACTGTTCAATACGATAATACACCGTATTTACAGTGATAATAATGCTATGCCACACTGTGTATATATTGCGGTGCCCGGGAGAAATAGAGTCGTTTCGCGGCGGCGGCGGACAATGGAAACTTATCGTAAAGCCTTCGATCGCATCGACAAAATATACAGCTGGTGCCGGCAGTCGCGTTTTCGCGTTTTGCAATGATAATACACGTGTACTAATAACCGCGTTGAAAACGTACTGAGCGTTCGATGAAATTACGTACAGCGTCTGGATACTGTCTTGTAACATTTGTCTGGTGTTATTTATACGCGGTATACGTTTTGCTAATATACGTGCACTTACGCGTATATTTACACGTGTACCGGCCACGATGTTGTGCGCGTTTTTCACGCCGAACCGGAAGCAGACGGGCCGAAAAACCTTTTTTCGTTTTATTTCTTCTCGTTTATCCCGCGGCGACCCGGTCGTTTCCACGAACTGCACACGTGCACGTCGATCTTTTAGCGTTGACAACCCGGCGCGTATTATTAATCGTCTCCACCCGTTTAGAACAGGAGTCCGATTGCTCGCTGCTGCTGCTGCTGCTGTTGCGAACAACCGATGAAATGCGTTTAGCGCGCGCGGTTATAAATTACACGTAAATAATACGTCTCGCGTTGTTCCCGTGGCTCCAACAAAACGTGTCTGCAAACATTTTCGCCTCCTCCGGGTCGCAACCTTTACACCGCGTCCCTGGCGTGTGTGCGCGCCCGTGCGATCCCGTGCGCTCTTCCCGTCTTCCGCGAACTCTGAGCAGCAATGTGGTCGCCGTAGACGGATGCGGGACTGAGAAAAAAAAATTCGACCTAACCGTGTTGTGTTCTCGGTAATCTATGTCCCCGGGGAGCTAACCCTGCAGCAGCAGCAGCGCGTTTGTCAGGCACAACGCTGCAAACCATTAATGGCGTTTAACGCAGTTCAATTACAATAGAAAAGGCAGCGCCACGTTTTGTACCGAAATTTAAGTATATTTCGAAGTGAAATTATGTTTTCTTACAACGCATACACGTCCCGTCGAAACTTCTGTTCGGGATCGGCGCCCAATGACTTAGTTTTTTTTTCCGGCTCGTCTCTGTTCAATGTTTTACTAAAAATTCTCTATTCCCGCGCAATATATTATTCACCTCGATTCAAGATGTGCAGTTCCACTTAAAAAATACCATGCATACGCGTTGTGTTTATACTTCATACGATGTCTATCTGTTTGATCACTTTGTATCACGTGCGCAAGTGCACTTTATCATAAATTCGTTAATATACTGAACATTATAAACGTAGAAATATTAGTTTATTTGAACTACGACTCTTGGAAACAGTGGTCCGAGCCAATAAGACCGTGGCATTTAGTTAGCTACTACGCTAAAGTTAAAATCTATACGTTCACATTTCGTGAAATTTTTATTTATCCTGTATAAATTTAATTCTTGAATTATTATATAATTATTAAAACGTGCAATACGAGTTCAGATGTGAAATTTTTAATGATAACTCAGCTTCGTAGAATTAATTAATTCTATCGGTTCCGTCGACGGTGATGGGTTTCAAATCAACGCGAAAATATATAAATATATAATTATTTTATATCGTTCCGGGTACTTTTTCTATTTATTTTTTTGTGGATTACGAAGCTACGATGCCCTTTGTTTTCAGCAGAGTTCGTCATATAGTATTAATGTACGTTCTCTGTTCACCTCGAAAAAATACAAGTAACAATTCTTGCTCTATGAAAAAAATAAATAAATATGTATTTATTTTATACGTGAAATTGTTACGCGTCTTTACCATTTAAATATGCAAACGTGCATGCAGTTGTCTCTCCTTCTAACTTTAAAAATTTTTTTTTTAAATAATGGCAAATGATATTATAAGTTAATAGGAAATTATTGAAAGTTTTATTTTTGTAAATCTTCATATAACTTATAAATCAAAATATTAAATCCGATGAGAGCTATAGTTATGCAACCCTCAACTTGGTCTAATCGATTTTGGACCATTTAATTTGTTTACCTTATAATTCTTAACAAATGTACAATGTTTACCATGTGTAACCGGTTTACAAGTATATAGTTTATTTTACATTATAAAATATAACAGAAAAAAACACAATAGTTTCTACAGTTTTTGGGAAAAACTAGAGTATTTATCATTTTGGAAGTATAACGTATCCCCTACTGTCTCATGTTTATATTTATAAACTGATATGAAGATACAACATTTTTTATGTCTTTTTCTTTTCGTTCTAATATTAATTCTATGGATATCATCTAAACTGTCAACAGTGTTAATAATTGTTGAGTTATTTTTTTTTCCTGGAACTTATGCATTTTACGGTGAGACAAAAAGTCGTATCGGCAGATAAAAGGAAGAATGCGTAAATAAAAAAACCTAACACTAACTTACACGATCCGTGTAAGTATATTTAGATATCATAACCATGATATGATATACTGCAGGTTCACAATCATTAGTTTATAGGTGTATGCGAATTGTAAATGTTAAACTTATCGAATATGTTCACGGTCTGTGCGGCATAAACGTCTATAGGTTCCCTAAATGAGTGTACCTTTGTACTTCCCGATGACATTATTATACTCGTATATAACTATTAACTATATATATGATATTGTTTAGGTATTAACTGTGTATTGAAGCTACATACGCGTGCGTAAGTATGTACAGCATAAGGACTCGTATTATTATTGTACCTTCGACTATATTACAATAATAATAATAATAATTATAATAATAAAAGCCTTAGAATTAAATTATAGGTGTGTTATCTACCGGTGTGCGCATTTTATGCGTTTCCAAACCGGTTGATTATAATATTTCTCTGGACAAAACGAGCGATTGTGTAATTATATCGTATGTATATAAAGAGTATCTACACGTACAGTGTGTATTGAACGAAATTGTTTGTCTACTTAATGCTGCTGCGCGTAAATGATTCGACTTCAAGTTTTCATAGGGTACAAACCGTAGCCACGGACGCACATTTGTATAAAATATTTAAATATTTTGTACAGTTAATTTATGTTTATTTGTAGTGAATTTATGGGCGCATGCCTAAATAGACTTACGTGTAAATATATAGAAACGTGTGAATTTTCGTATAATGCAAAAATAAGCCGTATGGCTACGGATGAACTTTGTTGCGGCACAAATTAAATTATAACTTTCAAAAATGATTTAAATAATATTTGTATAATTTTATGCTAAATAATTTTCAAATCGTGCTACTTTATCTGTCTGGCTGATAATAATAATTGTGTATAATATACATATTTTATTAAGTATGTGTGTAATTAACTATTTATAAATAAATAGTAAGTAAATAATAAAATAAATAACAAGATCAGTGACGGCGACCGCAAAGGGACGTACAAAATCGTGCCACGGCCACTGCCGAACCGGTACAATGAGCTGGACTTTGCGTTGGCCTTGGGCTACTTCCTGAAGAACCGCACAATGCCGCGGACCGTGAACAATAACGACACGGTGGACTTCGATTGCGTGCGCAAACAAAATATCCTATTTGGCAACTTGATCAGGTCGCTGAAGGTGGCCAAAAAAAAGTACGGTCAACTGCGGGATGGCGTGGCCTATGAGATCGAAGACTGGATGGGCAGCATGGCCATTGGCATTTCGGACGCACGAAAGACGATGTAAAAGCACGTGAGCCAAACGGCCACGCTGGTTAACGGCAAGATTGGGATCGCCGACAAATCCGTGACCAATGATATCGTTATGACGGAGAAGAAGATCGTAGACGGGGTGATCAAGACCGAGAAGTCCTTCGTCGACAGCATATCTAAGGCCGAACACTGCGTCAACTTCGGTCTGAGAAAGGCTGACCAGGTTTTAGGAAACACTCTGAACACCACGTTGACTATAACTGAACTAGGCATTTTGGTTCATGAAGAAGGGTTAAACATAGCGTTTGCGGTTTTGTCGTGGAAGTCCGTGATCGACATCGAAACGAAAATAAAATTCTGATGGGATACAATATTTTATACTCTCGAATTATTAATATTTATACATAGTTACTAATAAAATAAATGGCGACAAGTGTGATATACCCGAAACAATGTATCCTATTATAACGCGAAATATTCATGACTATAAAATGTGTTGCTTAGGTTCGAGGATGGCATTGTTATGGTTACTGAACACGTATTTTTCTCCCGGTCAACAGATCGGGTATGAATGATTAAAACTTTGAACTCGTAATGGGGATACCACCCTACCATTCAGTATTTTATTATTAATTCTAGGTACGATAGATTTTGGATTCGATCCGAGTGTTATTTTCTCGAATAATAAAAAAAAAATACCGTTCTACGCCTGAGAGTACGGCAATTCGAGACAAGGCGACCGGATAATTTAATTTATTATACGAAACGTTTCGCGCGTCGTACACGTATATACTGTACGAAAAAAGGTAGATACACGTGTAATACAGCAATAATACTTGAATATAAAACCGTGTGTACGTGTGTTAATATTATTACGTCGACTGCGAAGTATCCTCGTAGACGGCTCGCGCAATTAAATAATGACCCCCGGGTCCCTGGGGGCCGCACTGCGCATAGTACTTACTGGTAGTACTAGTAGTAATGTCTGTTTAACGAGTGTGGTAAGTTGCACGGCCGCGGTACAATTGTGAGACGATGGCGGGAAAGGGTTATTGTTGTCGTGCACAGGTGTAAATTAAACAAAATAATAATAATTATTATGATCTCGAGCCGCGCAATATACGTGTGGTGTGTACATGTATGTGTATACTTTTATGTTGTATACAAGCACCGCGCGCGTAGTCCGTCACGAAGTAGTATCCGTTCGACGATGAGACACAGCAGCTGATATAATAATGCGCGTCTTGCGTTTCCGAATATTACTAACCGTGCACACGTATACCGTGTGTGTATACGAAAAAAATTATTATTCTTCGAGAACTAGTTTTACGCGGCTAATAGCCTGCAAATTAGTCGTGTGCAACATGCAAGATTAATTAGCCGTTCAGGTGGGCTTATAATGCAATCATTTGTGCGTGAGCACGCGTAAAAAAACGAAATACATTAATGTGAATTGTTTTATTTGAGTTTTAGACTGCGTTGCACTGGGCCTCGAAACACGGTAACATGGACCTGGTGAAAATGCTGGCCGGCACGTACGGCGCAAATGTCAACGCCAAAACGGTAAGCGCGGTTATTTTTCGTTATTTTTTTTATAAATTTCTCACTATATTCACTTAAGGTAGAACCATGTTGCAAAACAATGCAGGTAATTTTAGCTTTTAGTCGTTTTCTCTGTCAGACCCGCAGGCGGGAGACAAAAATTAAAAATAATTCTAATACAATGAGTTGAGTATCTTTATTTTTTTGTGAGATAAGTAAAATGAGATTTAAAACAGTCCTAATCGTGTTAAAGTGGCCTATTTTCAATTTTGTTATAGGAAGGGGGTTGAAAATATTTTTAACAAATAAGTGGTTTTATAATATAAAAAATAATACTTATAAGGTATGAATTAATACATTATTCTATTATTATTTTAAATACCAAAAGGTAAACGTCTTTTTTTCGTCAGTTCACCAATAATTTCTTCAGTTGTTATTAAGTAGTTTTTATTTATTGATAGCATCACTAAACCGTAATTTTTTCTTCTTTTGGTGAGATCGAGACTCGAGAACCGACATAGAGATATTTTACTTAACGACACAGTTAAACCAGTGGTGTCATTTGAAGAGTAGCAACTGGGACATTTGCTCCAGTCCAATACAACCTATAGTCGGCACACTTAAAAAATATAAGTTGTCTTCAAGATGTCAATTTCCTTAACACATATTAACCGTGAGTCAGCTGACCTCCTGAACCCCTTTCGCCATATATCCAACCCTAAAATAGAGGTATTAACATATTAGAATATTTTATGTGTCACGATATTCTAATTGTAAAATATTAATACTTACCAGCGGTCTGCGATTCTATACCGTGGAAACATCACAGCAAACACAATATCGTGCGCGGAACAATTATTATTTGCACTGCAGTGGGGTGGGGGGAAAACGGTTTCTGGTAACTTTGCTGGTATTCGGAAAAATGAGAACAATTTTGCAAATCGTCCGAATTCTTGAACTCCGTATTAGACACATTTACACTTTACAGCCGTATTGGGTATGTATATATATTTGGCCTGAGGTCCGAAACGATTAGTATATATGTATAATGTGTGTGTGTGTGTGTGTGTGTGTATGTGTGTGTGTGTGTGTGTGTGTGTGTGTGTGTGTGTGTGGTAACATTCCGACGGAACGGGCTCCCTATACACTTTATGTGGTACGTAATGTAATTCCGTTGAGATAACTATAGCGATAATATAATGATTTTTATGGATTATACATTATTCATTACTGCGGTGGCGGTTGTACGCGCGTATTATGTGTTATCTGGTAATTACAATAATTATACAGATTCGGTTTAATTATAATAGCGCGCGCGCGCGCGCCCGATCATCAGGTCCGATGATACGTATCCTGTTTTCACATTTCTTCTCTGCCCGTCGTCGCCTTCCCTGTCGATTTTTACGTACAGTTTTACTTTTTTTTTTTTAATATCTATCCCCCGAGATACGGTTTATTAAATCTCGGCGGTGCAAGACGCACGGATAACCCCGTGATGACGACGACGACGCCACCGAGGGCCCCGGGGACTACTGCTCTGCGTTGGACACAGTATACGGCGGTGTATACATCGTGTTGTATGACGAATATCGATTGACCGTCTAGATACGGGTTCAGCGATAATATCTATGCGACGGCTACCGTTAAGCCAAGTTTCGTCGATTTGGGTGTATAAAATAGGGAGAAGAAACAAAAAAAACACTTGGATAGGCACATAAAAAGAAATCGCTGCCGCCGTTGCGACCGGTGTATTGCACATTCTTGTAAGAACATTGTATTAAATACGAGTATATTGTGTACGCTCGCGTTTCTTCCAATTTGTTGTTGAACAACGACGGGGAATATCATAGAACCGTTTAGTCACCACCGCCACCGATGTTTTCCTATTTTATACATTTCAAAATTTCACGACATCCTTCACAACAACAACTATTCTTCGGTCGACTTTCGAGTAGATGGAAGTACGACATCCAATCACGTGTTTTTTTTCATAAAAAATCCGTTTTATTCTTTTAAATGACATCACTTAAAATATATTGTCTTCAAAACTTCCTATATAGAAACAATAATCTCGTGCTTTGTTTGTGTTATTAATTGTTCGTGCATGGCTTTGTCACATGCTCGTTTTAATTACAAACATGATAAAAAATTATTAAATTATTTAAAAAAAAAAAAAAAAAAAAGAGCACGTTTACATCAAATGTGATTTATTACAATGACTACGAATCCTTCGATAAATCTTTGCTTGTGTATATGGTACTATTCTATCTATTTAACATCAAAAACAGGTTATACGAATGACTAATATTAAAATCTAAAAATAGCCTAGATCAATTGCAATCGTATATTATTTACATATTCTAGTTTAAGTTATTCATCTTAAACGTTTATGAAGTAAATTATCAAATTTCAAATATTTCAATAATCATAGACTTAACCAGAAATCTTGTTCAAAATATGCATTTTTATAATTGATTAGAATTCTGGTAAACTTTTTACTATTAGATAAGTGTCACTTGAAAATATTCCAATTCTATGGACAACCCAATAAATCTAATCTTAGCATAATAAAATGAGTAATTTAAAAAATATTTATTTCACGTAGCCTTCGTTTTAATGTCATGATGAAATAAAATGATAATAGTTTATCGAGTTTCAGGTAATTGTTATATATTTTAAAAATAAGCAACATCAACACGTAAAAACTTGTTTAGTAATACTAATTGTGCGAATAGTGTTGACATTTTAACCAACGCAGAGTTATTCATATTTTGAAAACAATATTTTTAATAAATTACAAATAATATTGACAGTTTAATTTTTTTATAATATCTAAAGGAAATAGTATATATAATACATTTTTCCCCTAGCCTGAGGTATTTTTGACTGTATGTCTATGTCAATAATTAAGTGTAGTATTAAAATATACAAAAACAAAATATTTCTCTTACCTTACCGTAGTACAGGAAAAGTATTGTTGAGCTTAGAAGAAATAAAATCTCGTGTGTACTTGAAAAGTTGAGTGCTTACTTTTTATAGGTAGGTAAGACTGAAAACCGTAAAAAGTTTAACGTTGTACTGCCTTCCTATGGGATTTTAAAGTTTTTCACCCCTTTTTCTCTGAACAATAACCTAACTTTCGACTTATGAATTTAATGTTTATTATATTAATGCGTACTCTTATATATATTAATATTTTTTTTTTTTTTTGTTTCTTACATGGATCCTACACAATAAACGGAACAAATTAGAATGGAGTAAGTATAAAACTAATTTTCAATTGTGGAAAAGGGTTTGGCAATTAAACAATAAGCGATTGAGAAGCATGACGAACCGCATAATATTGAAAAAAACAGGATAGAATTTAAAATTACATTTATATATACCTACCCTTTTTATGCAAACCCCTTGACATTGTTGTCATTTTTTTTTTTTTGCAAGTGTATGTGTATTTCGTTTCATTCAACTCCTATATATAGTATATATACATATAAATACTCGGTTGGCGACATCTGTTCGAATTTTTAATTGTCCTCTAGAACGTTTACGAAACGATTTAAAAATCAAAAAGGGTGACAAATCATAGCACTCTCCCGACAATCACCCCAATAATATAAGCATAAAGAATACTATTGCTATTGAATAATGTTTACACCCTTTCCAAAACGATGCGCACTTAAATGTTCCACAGGACTGGCGGTCTTATACTCACGTTTGCGCCATTGTGTGTGAGAAATTAATTCAAAACGACTACACTTGTACGCATATTGTTCTCTTTATACAAAGCGACAATTATATCGACAAAAGTTAGTGCAAAATGAAGTACTAAAAAAATACTGTAAAATGTCTTCCTGCCAAAACAATGGGAAATATCGCATTAAAACTGTACAGTTTTGTTTTGAGTTACGCAAAAATTTTTCAGAACCCAGATGCATTTCCGTCATTGCCTTTCATCCCTTCGGTGATGTAAGCACAATTGCATATACGCCTAAACACGTTATGTATAATATTTGTTCAGTTTTTTCTACTAGGAGAATTTTCGTTGCATTTCATTGTCCCATGACGACGTGTATCATTATAATTATTTATAATTACTGTATACTAGTCGAGTACATATTATTGTTTAAGTATACGTAAATAATTGCATAGGAAATAGTTAATTTCAATGGCTTTCTCAGGCTTATGATAAACAAGAGGGGATTTATAACTAGATTTGTTAAATTATTAAGTAGACAATAAATTTTAAATTAAACACTTAGTTGAAAAAAAAATAAATACTTCTTATTTTTGTCTATTTATGTCATTCAAAATTTAAATGATAGTTATAAATAATAATTCTTAAGGCTATTCATAAATATTTATTATACTAACATTTATATATTTATGATTTAAGTTATATTTTACGGATCCCCTCTCCCAAAAAGTCAAAATCAAAATTCTTATATTTTAAATGAATTGTAACACTATGCATAAAATAAAATTTTGATATATTATTCATCAGAGATTTTATGACCCTGTAGTTTATTTCACTTTATTTTCGGTATTTTTCGTGATAACTAGATAAATTGATCAAATTAACATTTTAGTTGAATTTTCAATCGATAGGAATACTACACAAAACATTTATTTTTTTGATTTGAAATAATATTTATTACAAATGTATGTAATTATAAATATGAATTTATATAGATGAAAATAAATATTGATTTTCAAACAACTAAAACTTTAAGAAAATATTATAATTCTTAAATATATGTAAAAATTATTAAAAATCGCAGTCAAACATTTTTTATATCATATTTTCGTTTTGACAAGATTTAAAGATAACATGGTAGTATGAAATAAAATCCTTATAATTAATTAATAATTATTATAAAATAGGTATCCTTTAGTTTATTTATGATTCATAAATCATTATCATTGGCAAAAATTGATTTAACGTTTCCGTAGTTTTGTATACGAGTTGTACTTATACATATGCCGTAAATTGTATATCTACAGTGTCTATAAACTATTGTGTATACTTTCACCTGTGACTTTAGGATTGTAGTGCACGTAGTTTACTGATAGCCTGATTTGGATAATACGCAATGGGAATGCTACTCAAATTGAAGTCACGCGTGAATGCGGATTTAACGTCACAAAGGCGGTGTATATAAGAGATTTAAAGATTTATTATGCGAATAGGAAGGAGGGTGGATTGAAAAAATATTTACAATTGGTTTACATATGGATTTTATACTGTCTTAAATCCAGTCAACAAGTATTGGTCAATATGCGTAATTTTAATATTTTCGAATTCCGTAAAACAATCAGAAATTTCTCGGGACATGATCCGTTTCGCGTAGTTTTTCTCGAAGCATATGCTTCGGCACCGAATACGAAAACGAATGTAGACGAACTTATTTTCTTTGTTGCCAAGCCTCTTCCGCCCCGCTATTAATACCATATGAAACGGTGATGCCGAGTGGAAAACTATTTTTTTTTCATCCAACGGTTTTTTCGAATATGCGCAGGGTTACACGCCGTGCCACATAGCCATGCAGTTCGGACATGAGGAGATCTACAAGATACTGGTTGAGTCTTACGGTAAGCACGGGTACTAACGGGGTGATCATAAGCGTTGTGTCGACTGTATATACTATATAGCATGTCCAATGTACACACAACACTCTCGTCGCAATACCTAAATTGTTGACCCGACGAGTACGAGGAGCACTGCACCGAAACCCAAAAACTCGTCGTACACCCGTTACAATCACCTATCCGCCCCTAAGTTTGGCAATAGTTTCCCGTTATCGCGCGCGCATTGCAGTCCTACTCGCTCGTCGGACCAGCAGGATGTTTACGTTTAGGTTAAGGTTTCTTTATTATTCTATCCGTGTAACTCATTCGGTTTTCTTCGCACGGTGCTGCCCCGGCGGAACAACGATCCACGAGCAGGAGCCGACCCGAACGTGCGGGACTGGAGCGGACGGAAACCCAGGCAGTACCAGACGAACCAGGACGTGACGAGCCTATCGGCGGACACGTATCGCAGTGAGTATGTTCGACGCGAGAAGCTCTCGGCGGCCGCCAAGCTCCTTCTGTTCAGTTCCTTGCCGAGGCCAAAACGACGTGCGAAAAAGAACACCCAACTGTCGTCCTTTTCGTTCTCGTACACCGCCCCAACCAACCCCCCGTTCAAGCTCACCAGGGACAAAAACGCGACCGAGCCGCCGGGCCTGACGCCCTCCCCCCGTCACGCAGCCACATCACGTCGTAGGCTGTGACGCACTCGTGCCCACCCCGTACATCATTCCGCGTTCACGCGCAAATTTAACACCGCAGTTTATATCATCGCCAATACATCGTAACACGATACACACGTGATTACAACACACTTTTAACGCTCGACGATTACTAAAGAAAAATACGTTGATAACAAAAATAATAATCGCATCGCTTCCTCGCAACTCATATCCGCCAGCCTACCCCCACCCCACTCCCTCCTCACCTTAAAATTATTATTATTATTATATTTCATACGTACCTGCACGTGTAATAAAACGGGAATGTATCTCATCATCTATTACTTACTTGAACTTTTTTCGGCCTTCTCGACTTTGTAACGTGATCCATTATGTTTTCCCGTATCGAGTTCGGCATCCTTTAACAACACTTGAATAATTACTACAAGAGCACCATTTTGTTTCGTTTAAACCCCAATGCGGTCACGGTAAAAAGCATCCCGTTGCATATTAAAATGTTGTCGCGACGTCATATTTATTATTACGTCTGTTCGCTGTTCCTTCGATAGATTTTTGAATTTCTCTATTCGATGACAAATTTTTCTTTTCGACGATTCCCTCCTCTTCCCACCACCCCTTCTGGCAAATCGCGCGGAACTGTAATATTCGATTGATCTCAATCCCTTTTTTTCTTAAATTTAATCGAATCACAAATTACTTTTACCCCTCCACCCTTTACACCAATATCGCCCTACACTTTTTTTGTGCACAGTTCGTTGCCTAAAATCGACAATAACAACAGAAGAACACAAAAAAGTCCTTTCGTACTTAATATTTATGTAGTAGCAACTATTAGTGCAATGTTAATGTAGTTAATTAGATATAGTCGTAATAATTTATGTCTTAATTTTGTGGTGCATGGTTTGTAACAAATGTACTTGAAATAATTCTGTTGCTTAATCATAATTATTAATTGTTATACATTTAATACATAAATAATTACTTCTGGATTAGGTGCATATTTGTTAATTTATTATAATTTATAGTACGCGTTTCTTCTCTACTTCGATTTACATGTGTATATATATATATATATATATACATATTTAAATAAATACGTGATATCAATCGTTATTGTTATTGTTCATAATTGTTTAGAAATAAACAATTATTTGAATACATTATTTTTCCATGAGTCTTCGTTATAACTACCAGTTAAGTTACTATAAATCATATAGGTACTGTCCATAACCAAAAAGTAAAATAGGTAAAATATCAATTGTTTGTTATTATTACATAAATGCTAAACTAGTTTTTTTTTAAACATCTAATTTGAAATTATTTTTCAATGTTAATACTATTTTATACTATACATCAAACATTTTTTTATTAATTCAAATATTAAATTTATCAATAAATGGCTTTATATATTAATATTTTCGTAATACTTTCCGCTGGTAATAAACAATAATTAGTTAATTTAAAGATTACATTATCTAGTTAAACTGTGTGTAAAATGCATAATTTGAGAAAATAGGTTAAATATTTTTAATAAAAGAGTTTTATATCATGGAATATAAATATTCCTACATTATATCTGATCCTCGAATATTTACAGATTATGTGTATTAATGTCTCATATTCATTTTTCCAAATTATTATTACTATTAGAATTTATAATATCATTAAATTCATTTAACCAATGTTTTATGTTATTATATCATACTATTATTATGCGTATGATTAGTTATGACTTAACTGAAGTTTATGGATAGATTTGTACTTATTATATTTTTCTACCGTTGTGTGTTATTTTCATCTAATTTTTTTATTATTTTATATTAAAATATTATTAGATAATACTTGGTTTTTAACTTACTATTTTAATAAGATAAAGGATCCCCTCAAAAAAGTTTTACAAACGCATTCGAAATAATATAATTTATATTAATTTAAGATAAAAAAGAAATTTCAAAGTTTGTTATTACTCTTTTGATGGTGGTAAATAAAAAAATTACCGTTTAAAGAAGTTCTGTGAAAAAAATGAACATTTATTATTTAGTTATTTAAAGTTTTTTCCATATAATTGTGTGTGTATAAAATTGAAAATTCGTTATCATGGCTATTTTATTTGGTTGAAAAGAACGTTACATTTACAAAAATTCGTATTATTTATATTTTAACAAACTGTTATTATTCGAGGAACTATATATAATAAAATACATTTGATCGTATAAATAAATCTAATAATCAATAATATCTTTATAAATAAAAAAAACCATCAACAATGTAACCTATATACCGAAACGGGACTGCAAAACGAAATTAAATTATTATTCGTCTGAAGTATAAATTTTTTTAAGATTCCAAAACAAACGTATTTACATATGGTATATTACCATAAGACGATCCTGTTCTGAACGTTTCGGTTGACGTACAAAAAAAAAAAAAAAATTAAAAACGTTTTACGCTAAACAAAATAACCGTTCTAACGCCAATTCGGACTTTCATCTTAAATCAATCGATCGGTGTCGGTGAGAATGTATTGCATGACTATCCGAAAGACGGCGGCGCCGACTTGTATTTCCTTTGGTGGGGCGAAATAGAGACATCGGTTACCGGCACCCAGGGGTGGAACTGGGGGCGGAAGACGGCGATTCATCCCCGGGCAAAAAAAGTTAGAGGGTGTAATTTTTCTAATTATCAACAACTAATTTGATATTTTTAACTTTGTTAAATACTGATATTAAGTGAAAACTCAATAAGTATGATTGTGTTTTAATTATTAGAAAACAATTCTCAAGAAGCGTATTCAATTATTGCTCTATGATAGGGCGTAGTTTTAACATTTTCTTCTAGCGTAAAAATTCCAAGTTCCACCTCTATCGGCACCACTCGCTAAGTCGGAGCGGAACAATGATGGATGATTTTACATGGTGAACTTTCAACCGTGCGAAGTTAAACGCAGGGCCCCCATCCCTTAAAAGCACGTGTTCGGCGCCGCCGGCATCAAAGATGCGCTAGATACGCTTCGTAGTGTCCTGCGTCCACGTTATTGCGTTTTCTGTGTTTCAATCGTTCGTTGTAACCGCACTCGGTACACCCACCCGCGTCGTTATGTGTGCGCTTATTGTAATCGCTTACGCCCTGTAACAGAACCTACACCGCGCGAAGCTGCAACCGCGTACACCGTGTGGCGTGACACGGTTGAACCGTACGCGTGATCTTGTATCGCGTTGCGCGCGCCTGTGCCGAAACCGGAGCATCCGAGTTGGGTCCCGAATACTAGGTGCTAATCGCAGGTAGTGTACTAGTTGGGTCCCGAATTTATATAGGTACTACACTAGTTGGGTCCTGAATTATTTTAGGTATTACACTAGTTCCTGAATATTTTTTGATAAGTATTACATTATACTAACATTTTCCTTCCCATTTTAACAGACTTAGGACTGTCTATGTTCTATTTAGACCACAGGTATGGTGAAAAATGTTTTTATAGTTTTTTTATATAGTTTCTTTTCCATTAAAATATAAATTATTAGAATTGTGTTGGTAAAAATATTAAATATATTAAAATTGTATTAATATTATTGTATAATATTTTTATTACACTATCCTAACTTTCCAATTCTAATATATAAATTATAGAATTTTAAAAAAAAAATGTGGTCCTGTAGTCTAAAATAGATCATAGACAGTCCTAAGTTTGTTAAAATGGGAAGGAAAATATTAGTATAATGTAGTACTAACTGAAAAATATTCAGGAACTAGTGTATACCTAAAATAATTCGGGACCCAATTCGGATGCAGCCGCCGATACAACGATGTCCGTGGCGCGTTTTCGACGCACGTAACGTGCGTTCGGACGAGACCGGTCCGCGGAGTGTGCGCTCGCGTCCCCGACCTGCATATTACCAAAGTGTACATGGTCTCGGCACTAGGTACAAAATACATTTTTTTTATTTTACCGCGCTTTTCGTCACCGATATTTTGATAACAAAATTACTATCAATAATAAAATTATACATAGACATGAAAATGATTTATTTTATACCTAGTGCCGAGACCATATACACTTTGGTAATATGCGTCCGACCAGCATGCAACACCCCGCAGATGTGATGATATTGTTAACCGTGACGAGCAGTATTGCGTTCAACCCCCTCCCCCTTGTGTACATACGACAGGAGGACGAACGGCAGTGCTGGTAGCGACTCACTTTCCTAATTTTTCTTCATTTTTTTTTTATTTTTTTTTTTCATAATTATGGTATCTTTTCTCATCTTTTTGAGATTCCAATAAAGACATTTTTCTGTATTTTTCTGTTATTGATCTGTGTTAGCTGCAACACATTCTTAACACAAATTTCACTATGAAAAATGTTCCGCTCACTTAATAAGATACATTTTGTAATGATAAACACCAAATACATATCGTATATTATATATATGAACACTTATAGAAAAATAATGTTTTCAAGATCTGATAGAGTAGGAAACCTAAAAAGCAACTATATTTTCACTGTGACCTTACCTAGGGTGGTATTGCATATTTTCGTTTTTAATTCCGATGACCCTGCCCTACATTTTGACCGAACAAAAAAAAGTGATAATGAGTAATGACTGGTAAACAGAGTACAGATTAAATAATTTTTATTATTATTAATATTATTTCATTATACTATAGATTATTATTTATTTGTTATTTAATGCGTATTGATAAATTTGGACAAATCGCACTATGAGTGCCAATGGCCGTATATCAAACAATTTTAAATTTACGTTTTTGGTATTATAAAGTGGCGCGATCTATGTAGTTACATTTTTAAATCGTTAGTTATACAAATAAACTTATTACACTAAGACAGATGGAGTGGTTGCTGAAAACAATAAAGCCGTAATACGAAATGTGGCCTTTTAATTATACTTGTTGATAACAATATTATAAGAAAATGTCTGGTCTAGTTAGTCATATTGACATTTAGCAGAAGAAAATTACAAATTGCTATAAATTATCAAACATTAAAAATGCTGGACGATTTAGTATTTTTGATATATGGCCCTCTTGCATTGATAATGCGAAATACTCTGTTCGCGATGATTAGTTTTTGAAATGTGACGGGTATATTTTGTTTTCAAATTTTGATTTAATGTTAAATACATGCAGTAGTTTATATTTTAAAAAGGTAAATTATGATAATAAAGTATCTTATTTCAAGTTACTTTTTATACTTTTCCTAAGATTTTTGTTGCTAAAGTCACATTTTTCCGATTGTTAACACTTGAAATTAATTACAATTAATTGCTATCAGCACTGTAATACAATGAGTCTTTAGCACGTCCCGTTTTTGAGCACATTCCATGCGATCGGTGAAAAGGTCTCGTCTCCTATCCCGCGTACAGGCGTCGTCAACACAAACACACGAGTGGCGTATCACTCCTACCTGCGCAGCGTTGTACAACTCGACTGGCCCACGACGAAAATCTAACCGTATTGTTATTATTTGTTTTGCTTATAGGGCTGTTGGAAACGGAAAGGCAAGTAAAATTTTCTATAAAAGTGTGTGGTGTGGTTTTCGCTTGGTGCAACAATAACTCCCGTAGCGCGTGTTCCCGCACATAACCTTCGACGTTTCCCGTCTAGCTTAGCATAAACCCTTGCGCACTGTGCACGTGGTGTTAGCCAGAGTCGTATTAACATATTTTGAACCCTGGGTCAACTGTATTTGAACACGCATCTCCTTCCAAAAAAAAAAAAAAAATATATATACGCTTTTATATATATAAATGTTTCTAACATCTTTAGTTCGTTCTTCGCTTTGCCTAAACTTAGTAATTGCGCAGATAATGTTTTCAATTATTTATTAAAATATTGGCGGTGTTATTTCTTATAATTTAATGTTTATAATATTTACTAACACAATATTTTGTGGACATCGGGTTACAGCGTTGTCCTCCCCTTAAATACGGCCCTGGCGTTACCACCGCTTACGTTCGCCGAACGTGAACACGCTTTTTCGTACGCATCACGACGCGTACAGGTTTGTGCATGGTCAAACTGTTCACGTGTGGTCCCTCGACTCACCATACGAGTATAATAATAATCATAATAATAATAATTATTTACACGGTCTGCCACTCGGAACACTCCCGAGACGCCGTGTTCGCGGATACGCTTTTCGCTGGAAAGTTTGTCGAAAACAACGCGGCGTACCTAACCCTGTTTGCCCGCGCGTTGTGTTCCCGTAGAATATTAACGTATATAACTGTATAATTTTATTATCGCGTGCTCTACGTTCATCGCCATGCGGCCGTGCAACTGCGACCGCTTTGGTCGTTCGTCGTTTACATCGAAACGACGAACACGGGTTTTTTCTGACGCGAGGGAGAAAAAAATAAATAAAACGTAAGAACGTTCCAATATCCGGACGCGTACCCCCGCAGGAACTAAAATTGTGTGCAGTATGACACGCTTTGTATAATACGAAATGTTGAGTGTGTAGTATGAAATTAAAAAATGTGTGTTGTGGTTCTATATTACGGTATTTGTTTTTAACTTTTACATTTTTTTTTTTTATTAAATCATCTTACATATATTTGAAATTCCAATATGTATCATCGGCGAAATATAAAACAAAAATTGTTATTACCGTGTTGCTCGTTACCGTTCACGTTCGAAAGGGGAGCGCGACAAAATCCTTAAATGTGCAGTACGAAAAATTATATATTTTAGCCTCTGCGCCACCCTTATACGTTTATTCGCAAGATAACGAACTAACCCCCGCAATCCTCTCCATACTTACATTACGCGTAGTTATGTGTGTGTGTGCGTTCGTTCCGCCTCCCGAGTGTCATTCGTTTTCTTCCGGTTCCGTTTTTCTCCCCCATGGTTTACGTTTCCGTTCATAATATACTGTAGTGTTTGTTTGTTTGCAGAACTAAACGCCCGAAAACACAAGCACACGGGTAAGTTCGAGCGCACCTAATCGCTTCTCATTATACGTTAACGCTTGTGTACGTAACATTGTTTTCGGCACGTCCCGCGTACGCAAATGTACGTGTCTGTTCGCCAGCAGAGGCGGTTCGAACGTCTTTTACCGGCACCAATCGGACAAAACCACCAGTCGACAGTGCTCCAAGAGAGAATCACTCTGCTCGACGTACACCGTGACACCGCGATAACTGTCACAATTCATCACACCGTACACTCATAAATTCACTTGCAGTGCTCGACTTGATGAAAAAAAAATTGTTTACCTAAAAAAAAAAGAGCGTCTCCAAAACTTGTTAAGCGTTATAATTGTAACGTTGGGACGATAAGGTTTCTGAAAATTTGTTGGGGCAATCTGTCTATTCACTTGTGTTTCAAATTTGTTTGGCTTTACGACCCAAACGAATCGCGCATTGTTAGACTTAAGCATTTTCACCCAAATCACGTTTGTTTTTTTATTTAATTTTTTTTTTTCTAAGCGGTATCCTGGATTGAAAGCGCTCACAAACCGCTCCTGCTGGTGGTTAGATTATTTACTAATGGCGTGCGCAGACATTTTGTATGAGAGGAGGGATGTCAAACATTAAAATGTATTATTTTAAATTTTTATTCTTTATTATTATAAAAAAAAAAAAAAATTCAATCAAGGCGAAAATTCATCCTTCTGGCTTTTACACTAAATTCATCAATAATTTGTTCTGTTGATAATGGAATGTCTCGATGTATTTTCATTAACGCAATCAATTTAACCGTGACTACCCCGTCGTATTTTTTAAATACGTTTTTATATGTTTAAGGCTAAAAAAAAAAAAAGCCCTTAAGGAGATATATCCCCCATCATCCCCTCTGCGTACGCCACTGTAATTCACACACGATTTTCTCCGATCCAAACGTACACGACATACGTGTAATAATGTTACGTACACGATACCGGCTTTTAACACTCACGCGAGCATATAACACCGTGCACACACGGCGACGATTAATAATCAATATAATTGTGTCTCGTCGGATTTTTGTTTTCGTTGTTTTCGTTAACGCGCCGCAGAAAAGGATCTAGGATTCCTCAGGATCGGGTCCCTGAACGTACGCGTTAAACGCACCACGGAGGCGTTCAGCAACTTCCTGGGCGTCGGACATAACGCAGAGAAGATTCATAAGACCTGGGGCTCGGCCGACAACTTACAACAGGTTACAAACGCAACCGAACATTATGCAATATACGATTTTTCCGTAACATTACGTTACGTTTACCACACGAATGCATGCCGTGTGTTTTTGACCATCCCCGTGTACGGCTCGAGAAGATCTAATATAGGTTTTTTTTTTTCCCCTTCCCGTTCCGCAATCGCAGAATGACATCAAAAGGATGCCCCCTCCGAAGAGCGTTTCAATTAAAAAGAGGAAATCCAAACGACCGCAAGACTTTCTAAGAAGAGCATCGGCACCGGCCGACAGGTCGCCGGAGAAGAGGAAATCGGCGGACGCCACCACCACCGCCGCAGTCGCAGCTACCACCGGTGACTCAGACTCGGACACGGCCTGCGGTTTCGGGACCAACTGGCAGCCTTCTTAACAACGCCGTCTCTGTACCCGAAATTTTTTTCAACAGTCGTATACGATTTTATTTATTTATTTTTTTTTTCGTAAAATGTTGTAATCCAAATGTACCTAAAACCGAGTATTATTGATCTTCAGTCATCGTTGCGTAATCCAACAAAAGAGCTCATTTGTTCTTTTTCCCGGCATCTCACCATTTTTTTTCTACTCATATCTATTATGTTAGCTTTGTTTTTTTTTTCTTATTGTATTTAATCTAAACACACATTATTAGAGGTAATGTGATGTAATAGCCTAACAATGTGATGTAACAAACGTGCGCAGTCCACCATACATTGATTATAAGTTATTAATATGTTTACAATAATTTAATTTACAGTTTATTTTAAATGTGACCCAATGAGTGATTAATTCGAGTAATGACAACATGCTAGTGATATTTATTGTATACTTTTTATTAATTGTTCAAGTATTAAGAGCTATAAAAATATATAATTAGGCTATTGTTATTAAATGTTAGTACTGGATTAATTGATGAGTAGTCTTAAGATAAAAAATGGTAATAAATTGGATTAATTATGAACAATCATTATCATTGTTTAATTGTAATATTTCATCAATGGTCCATCAGCTACGAACACATGTATGCATAATCCGAGTATACGTTTACTTAATGGATCAAGTACAATAGAATGAATCCCATGCAAGTTTTCTACTAATTAAACATAACATTATCAATAACAGCTGTAGACATGCTTTACACCTTTTAAATAGTATCGCACTAGGATGACAATTTATTATAATACATGTTTCATGTTAAATGACCAACAGAATTTGCTTTTTGCTTTTTGAACAATTTCATCACCACTTACAAATTCCCGGATGATTCACTTCAAAAATAATGCATATCTAGTTCTAAATACAATACTAGTATTAATTGACTATGACAAAATGTTGTGATCAAGTGTTTCAGCAGTCCTGTTTGTGAACAACACTAATTGTAAATAATAACTTATAAATATTTACCCGGAAAGGCAAGGATTGTTATGTATAAAAACATATTTTAGTTTTAGAGCTTAAGCAAATAATTAATAAAACAACATTAGATGCATTGAAATATATATAGTTAGATAATAAAAGCAAGATAAAAAAAAAGCAATTAAAAAACCATGTTTCTTATTTTATTAAAAAAAACACCCTTTAATAGAAAAAATAATTTAATACCAATATATCTACTATACAAGACACTTTAGCTTTTAATCTGTAACCTCTTAAATATTTCTTGGACGAGATCCTCCCTTTGAACTTCTTCTTCCTGCCTAGTAACAACATCCCTTAGTTTAACAACACCTTTCGCTACTTCCCCTTCACCAATGATGACAGCCCACGGGATTTCATTTTCTTCGCAGTGCTGAAGTTGGGCCAACAGTTTAGGATTCTTCTTGTACGAATGTTCAGCCTTAATCCCTGCATTCCACAAATCTCTGCACACTGTCAACCTGTGTTGGACCAGGTCTTTCTGTGCAGCAGCTACATACACTTGCACCTCTGTCATACGTACTTTTTGTTTCTGTTTGGCTAGTTTGGCTTCGATGACGGTGAACAGCCTTTCCACACCGATCGATATACCCACACATGGGATGGTTTTGTTTTTAGGATGGAACATACCGACTAGATTATCGTAGCGACCACCGCCGGCAACGCTACCGACGGATTCGCCTTTGTCTAATAAAACAACTTCATATATGATACCTGTATAGTAATCCAGTCCTCTGGCTAAACTCAAGTCAAAGGACACAAGATGGTCGATATTGAAGAACTTGATGTACTCGAAAAACAATTTCATGGCCTCCAACCCTTGTACAGCCATTTTAGACTTGGTGAGCAGGTCGTCTTTGAAAAGAGCCGTGACCAACTCGTCGGTCCCGTTCATCCGCACGTACGTGCCGATCTTGTCAGCCACTTCTTCGGCCAACCCTTTCTCGGTGACCATCTCTTTCCTGACCTCTAGCCACGGAGACTTGTCCAGCTTGTCAACAGAGGAGCAAATGGTTCTGAACTGGTCGGTGGGAACACCGCACGACTCGAACAGGCCGTCGAGCAGCAGCCTGTGGTTGACCTTCACCTTGAACTTGCCCGCGTCCAGGGCACTGAGGATCTCGGTAGCGACAAATACGCACTCGGCCTCGGGTATCATATCGTCGTACTGGCCCGCGATGTCGTAGTCGCACTGGTAGAACTCGCGGTACCGGCCGCGTGTCACGGACGGGTTGTCGCGCCGGTACACCTTGGCGATCTGGTACCGCTTGATGTTGGTGATCTTGTTCATGGCCAGGTACCTGGCGAACGGCACGGTCAGGTCGTAGCGCAGGGACAGCGACTCGCCGCCCTGGTCGGCCAGGTCGTAAATAAGCTTCGAGTCCTCGCCGTATTTGCCGGTCAGCACCTCCTTCAGCTCGAATATCGGCGTGTCGATGTTCACGGCCCCGTGGCGCTTGAACACTTCCGTGATGCGGCCCAGCACGTCGTTGCGCACGGCCGTGTGCTCGGGCCCGTAGTCGCGCGTCCCTTTTGGGGTCTTCAGCTGCACCTTGGCCGGCAGCTTGTCCAGCGACTTACTCGTGGGCGGCGGTGGTTTATCGTGTTGCTGGTCATTGGACGCCATGTCGTCGTGGTCGTCGTCGTGATGGTGAACTGAGCGGTACGTGCACGGTCGCGGATGAATGACGCGAGTACAACACACTTTGTTCGGCCACCGTGCAACCGTGCGCAAGGTTTTCATCATGCTGTTAAGCGGCGCCGCCGCCGACCGTCCGGTTATCATTAGTCCATATCCACGCCACCGCCAACGCGATTGGCAACACTGCAGAAACTGTTCGCAATCATCGTGGTCTCTATACACGCACAAAACAGCTGTTGTTTGACAATACAAAATCTGTCGTGCGCGTGATAAAATAAAAACATCTCCGAGCAATCATATTGCCGTGTAATAATAATAATAATGATATAGCAAATGTCAATCTCGCAAACCTACCGTTATCGTCCTGTGACGTCCTCCTTGTACATCAGCGCATTTGTTATTTACATTTTGTTCCCGCGACCGTAACAGCCAGTGAACACCGCTCGGTTATCAATGTCGCCGCGAGACATGTAATCCAACGATTTCGGAATATCTGTAAACAAATCCGATCGCGCCACACGTACGAAAATGTCTTCGAGGGTGTTGCGGAAAATGGGTCTGCAGGACGAACAGGACCTGTCAGTGGTCAAAGATGACGCGAGTGACGATACGGAAACCAGTTCCGGTGGTGTGAACAAGAAGCGTCACTTAAACATGTACGATTTGGTGAGTGCGAACGTGTATACGCTGACCATAATTCTGTTGTTAATACTGCAATGTTGGCCAATGTCTTACAGCTGAACAATGGGTCGTTATCCGAGTCCGAAGTGAAAGAAGATGATGACCATGAAACTACCGGTTCAGTAAATAAGAAAGATGAAAACATTTCTTGTGACAAGGAAAACATCAAGCGGAAAAAGAAAAAAAAGAGAAAGAAGTCTGGAAAAGTATTGTCTACTAACACTCGCAGCAGCGAAGATAACATTGAAGTAAGTGTTGTACCGATTTAACAATTTGTGCTACTAGAAATATAAATCCTAACTAATCATTTAGGATGAAGTTGAAAGAAGTGTGCGTGAAGTAAACAAAATTTTGGGTGAAGTACCTGACAAAGGAGAAGAAAATGAAGCTACTTCTTCGCAGAATTTACCTCACAATCGAGAATCTATTTATTTTAAAAATATATTGTCTGTACAGCACCGTAATCTTAACCCTAATAATGAACTGCGTAAAATGTTTGGACGAGTTGTTCATCAAGCTGAACTAAGGTATAACATTATTGTTTAACAACAATTTCTTGGTGTAGTATTAAAAAAATATACTTTTTTTAAAGTATTTGAATAGCATTTATCTCTATCGCACATTCTAAACTTAAAAAAAACAATATCTATTGTTGTCTTTTGTTAATTCCTAATAGTAATTTTATATTTTAATTTTAATCGTATGACTATCCTTTTTATCTACACCATTATTCAGTGCTATATTTTTACAAGTTTTGATTACATAAATGTGTGCTCAATTTTATAATTATTTTTCCATTTAAGTATTATGTTTTAAATAGGTCATTTTTACAGCATAATTATTTTCACATCTGAAATTATAAAAACAATAGAAAATCAATTTTTTTTTTTAATTTTTGTCCACCTGTATTATATTTTTTTAGTATACTATGAATTATTTTTATGACATATAATGTTTGCTAGTAGAATTATAATATTTGCTTATACTACTATATGATTGAACAATCTATATTATGTTTTTTCTTCTTTATTTAATGAATATATCTAAATTATTATTATTCCTACTAACTTAATTTATGAATCACAAATGAGTTTTTAGTGACATTTAAAATAATGTAACATGCTTTTATATTACATTGTTTATTCAAAAACTGCTTATGGTTAAGTTAAGTTTAAATTATAAAGATGCCATATCATAAAGTATTATTAGATCAACAACTAAAAGTTGAACTTATATGTCAAGGTTAACTGATATATTTTTATCAAACCCTTTAATAAAGTAAAAATAGATATTTTAAATTAAAATTGAATAACTAAATGCATAACTGTACTTTTTTCAGTTACAATAAAAATATAAATAAAAAATTAAGTTATTGTGCTGTTATAAATGAAACATAATTTCTATATGTACTTTTTTCTATACTAACTTTAAAATTATACATTAATTGCATTTTTTTATAATAATTACAGTAAGCGCAAGTTCAGAGGAAGAAATCATTTAAAAACAACATGGTTGGTGACACCTAAAGACAATTGGCCACCAGTTGGAAAATCAGGTGCATTAACTTATAACTATTTGATGTAAAGATCTCCTAAAGATAACAATATATTTTAGGTTCAACAATGAAATATGTGGAAAGTAAAAATGGAATTATGTACTTTGCATTTGAACACAGTCCTGAATACCAACAAGTACAGATGCAACTTTACAAAGCTGTATCTCACATGTCATCAGGAACTCTGGTGGTTAGTATCAATTAAATTTTAGTTGACATAAGATTGTATACATAACATCATTTCAGAATATTATTAATAACCATCCATATCATGTGGATGTGCTTTTGCAAATAACAGAATGGGCTAGGTTAAGTGAAGACTTACCGGTTGCTGCTGAACTTACCGAACAAGCTTTGTATTCATTGGAAAATTCATTCCATCCCATGTTCAGTTTGTCCAATGGAAAATGTCGTTTAGATTATCGTTTACATGAAAATAGGTATTTAATTATTTTTTCATTATTATTTGAAAGTATAATTATTAATGTAAGTTATTAGTTCACAAATATTATTAATAATTCACAAATTATGTTATCTACATGCTGTCCTTGATAATAATAATTATAATATTATATTAAGTTAAAACATTTTAATACATGTACGATTTATTTATCTATATATTTAAATTTTTTTCAGAGCATTATTCCTGACTTTGTACAGACATTTAACATTTGTTGGACTTCGGGCTTGTTATCGTACAGCTTTAGAATTCTGTAAACTTCTTTTGTCATTATCTCCCATGGACGATCCTCTTGCAGTTATTCTTTGTATCGATTTTTATGCTCTGCGTTCTTCAGAGTATACATGGTTCATTCACTTTGTGAATGCTTTTGATTCTGCACGTAATTTAACTCAACTTCCTAACATCAAGTTTTCACTCGCTGTTGCTAAATGGCAAAAAGGTGATGTTGAAACTGCTCACACTCTACTACAAGAAGCATTGATCATGTTTCCTGGTGTTTTATTACCGTTGTTAGAAAAGTGTTCTATCCAGGCCGACAAGCGTGTATATGATAATACATTTTTCACCACTTATGCTACTGAAACGTATGTGTAATATGCAATTTTTGAATGATATAAAATTATTTTATTGTAATTCTTTTTTTTAGACAACCAAAATCTTTATCTTACTTAATATCGATGTATGTAACGAGAAGTTACCATATTTGGAAAGAAGTGCAGCTGTTACCATGGCTTGAACGTAATGTACAAATTGTACTTGATAGAGTACAAGCTCAGGATCCATTGATAAAGAACATGGAAAACTTACGAGTCACTTTATACAGTGCCAAACCCCCACTCAACATACACAGACATCTGTTACTGTCTGACATGAGTGATACAATTGCACCACCAGCTGAGGTAAAAATAATCAATGTTTGTTGTCATATTTGTACTAATATCAATCTTGATATTGTTATGTATTTACTTGAGTTAACATATGTGAGGTCTAATAGTCATTGCATAAATTAATCTAACAAGATGTTTAGATTTGAATTTGTTTGTTGATTTACTAATTATTATTTTTTGTTAGGCGGTTACCAGTCCAATTCTCATTATGGATCCATTTCCACCACTAGATGGTACTTCTTTTTATAATTCCAGATCATCACTCGATAGCATTAGTAGAACAGCTACGGAAAACCAATCACTATTTTCAACATTTTTCCGGTCATTAAACCCAGTGTTTCAAGCACTTTCCGATGAAAGGTAAATCAAAATTATTAAGTTGTTATCAATACATTAATTATTATTTGACTTCTTTTAATATGTATTTTATATTTTTTATTTTACATTAAAATAAAATATAATCTATACAAAGTAGTACAATAAATATACGTTATTTATGTGTTACAATCATTAATCATTTGAGTAAGAAGTTCCCCATTAGTAACATTTATTTACATTAATATAAATTTATTTTATTTTAACTGTAGAAAATGATACAAATGTTTATTATACTGTAAGGCTGTAAACTTATTAATCTTATTTATTAATATGGATTTTGTTTTTAAAATACATGTATATTGCCTACATTTTTATCAGTTGTTGTGTTATATATATTTTAATTAACTTTTAGTAATGTGGACGAAGAATTAGCTGCTGAAGCTGAAGCAGTTGCAAGACCTGTTATTACAATGGTCGGGGAGCAAATTGAAGAGATGAGAAGTGACTTACGCCAAAGTGTAAACTCTTTATTAGACGCTATGAGAAACTTATTGTCTAATGTTCATTCACCAAATGTACCAGCTGATGGTGACATTGATGATGATTCGGAGCTTACAGATACAGCATAATAGGGGGAAAAAAATATGTAATTTCTTTATAACTTTTTGTTTTGATCCCATGTCATATAATTTGTTTTTTAATTTTATCATTAAAGTAATATTGCATTAGAAGACTGGGCTGATGGATTTTGCTTATTTATGTATAATATATTATTGTAACACTATACTTAATGTTATATTATTTTTACTCTAAAATGTCTGTACAGACGATTTATTAAAACAAATTACGTTTATCGCCAATCTCAATAAATTATAATTCTATTTTTTTCTTCTATAATCTTTCTCTTTACATAAACATTTTGATATTTATAAATAAACTATATTATTTTTTGGGGAGGTCAATAGCTGTTTTGATTGCTCTTTATTTATAAATTTTCTAGTAACTATTTTTTTTGGTTATTCTTCACTTTTCTCAAACATAATAATCTTTAAATTCAAAAATACCAATCACACTTATTTCCTTTAAAACCACTATAATTCTGTATGGAATTATGACAAATGAACATCTAGTATAAAGGTTATTTATTATTATTCAGTTTATATTACTCGAAAAGGTGTAAATATTATATTTAGTTACTAGATAGAAAAAACGTTAAATAAATATTGTGAAATTATATAAGCCACTCTTCAAATGTGTTAAAGGATTAATAAAAACTATGTCAATTAACTTTGAACTTGAATAGAACGATTTCCATGAAAGCTTTTAAGCTGAATAAACTGAATCTTTGTTTTTATTTACTCGTATATTTTACCTAAAAGTGTAGATGTTATTAAACTATCGTTCACATTAATGGAATCGAACTGCAAAGTCAATTGATTTCAAGTGTTGTTATATACTCGAAACAAAAACCATTGTATTTTCTTTTAGGAATGATAAGGAAAATTAAAAAAAAAAAAAAGAATGTATATTTATTGAACACATTTCCGTGGAAACCATTGCTGCTATACATATATCGTGTAGAACCGTCGCAGGTTACTATAACCAAGAACAACTCGGAGGCGCTGGTAATTTTTTGGATGCTTGTCATTGAAGTACAATTGACTGGTGTCCCAAGACGGTTGAAATATCGTGGTCACAAACCTGATTAAGACCGAATATATTCTCATCGGGAACCTGCAGTGGAAAATCCCAATGTTCAACTAGAACGAGGTGTCGGTACCTATCAATTGTTTTCTCGTAGTACACTCGTTGCGCCTGGTCGCTTTTTTTTTTATCGGATCATCAGATAACTGCTTTCGATTGTTATTGTCGACGTAGAATTGATTAACATCTTGGTTTCGGATTTCATCCTGAGACCAGTGCTCGACTTGGCAAAATTAAAGAATGGAACTGTGTTTACTTTAAAGAAAAATAGCGTCCCCAAGACTTGTTAAGCGTTATCATTTTAACGTGCTATTAGTAGGGAGACGCTAGAATTTCTGAAAATTAGTTGGATGAAAAATCCGTCCACCTGCGTCCCCCTCGAGTCGAGCACTGCCTAAGACCACGTGTACAACGGGCAAGTATCGTTGAATACTTGTTCCGCATTTTGGATTTTTAAATCCAAAAACCGGATATTTTGGAAAAAATACCGTTCGCAGCAATAAATAAAAAAACTACGTGATCCTTGTAATGGTATTCCCTCGTACGCTTACGGGTCGAAAAAATACTGTTGAATCGTCTTAGTCCGTAGTTACGTAGCGCGTTTGCCTATGCGTCGCGCCGCCGACTTGATAATATTACGAAAGTTATTAATCGATGGGGTGAGAGGGTACGATTGTTCGACTGAATTTTACTCGACTTCAATTTCAACTGGTTACGTTATACGTTCATACGAAGCGGAAATAAATTGTGTTTATGTAAATACAATGCGTCGATTCATAATAGGTAAATTAAAGGATAAAATCGCACTGGAAACACCGACAGGCGATAATGATATGTTGAGGTTAGAGGATGTGCCAGTCGATCCACGTCTGACAACGAGATATTGAAAACGCAGTGAAGTGCAGCGAATGGTTTCGAGTGACCATTTAATCTGTTTTTCGGGGCATTGATTAATAATGCGTTTTGTTGCTCTGCACCCATAGGCGTGGGCGACCTGTATCTCAAGGGATGTCTACAATACTATTGTGCTCCGTTCTAAACAAAACGTGTTTGGTACGTTTAATAAATTATAATTAAAGACCGGGATTTATATGTTTTTACGTATTGTTAACAGATCAATGAAGTCTTTTGAGAATAAAAATTGTGAACGATTCGTTCAATTCTGAGTTAGCGCGAAAAAGTTTTTCTGCGTGTTTGAGAATATTTTATGGGTTATGGAGTATTTAGCTATTTATTTAATAATACAATTTTTAAACTACAATAAATACATTTTTAACGCATTTTAGAGTGCATTTTTTTTTTAGAGCATTTAAATCCCAGCCCTAATAATAACACTTTTCTTATAAGTTGCCTAAACAACAAGTTGGTTCACTAAACATAATGGCGATGTAAAGCTGGCAGTTGTTTTCATATATGTATGTTTATTGTTTAATAAAAATTCAAATGTCTAAATATTTTGTTTTGAACTTTTGAAAATTACACATTATTTAATTTTACACATTTATTTAATTGCATGATTTATATTATTTTTAAATTAAAAATAAAAGACCAATAATTTTAAAATCGCAAGTGTCATATATCTCACTAATTAATAAAAGGAATGCTGTAAAAAAAATGTTTTAAAAAAATTGGTATATTAAAGCATATATTGATCTAATTTTGCATACTATTTTAAAATTCTTAGAGAATATAATGAGAATATTTTAAAGGTTTTTTTAAAGAATATTAACATCATATTTTAAGTGTTTTAAGAGAATATAAATCCGGTCATTAATTATAATTTATAAATATTTAAACAAACATAACTTCAGTTTTTTATTTAAGATTATGGTATTTTAGTCCAAACGAATATTTTTTTTTTACTTTTATATTCAATTGTAGCTGTAAACGTAACCTCAATAGTCGGCCGGAGATACCCGGCGGTTCCGCTACATTTGCCTGTATATCGGCCTAATATAATTGCGCTGATTTGGAAGCCACAGTCAAAAAAGGTAAGGACGGAGGTAACCTCACAATTCAACAAATAATGATAATAGTTTAATCTTTATTCTTGATTTATATTAATAATAATAATAATATTCGATTGGCGGCACCCTTACATATAAGTTATATGTAGGGTTCGGATTTCAATGCATTTGCATCTTTTTTTTGGGATGTCTTACGCGATGCTTTCCAAGCTACAAATTTGTTTCAGGTACTCCGTGTTCTACCCACAAACATTTTTCGGTACTTTTTTTGCATTTTTACTGGATTTTGTACTTTTTAGAGCATTTTTCAACGTTTTTAATGCATTCTTTTATATTTCAGGACATTTTTGACCTATTTCTCGTATTATGACTAACTTCAGTTGATGTTGAGAAGTCATTTTCAGTATATAAAAACTTATTGGCAGATAACCGTCGTTCATTCAAATTCCAAAACTTAAAACAAATACTAATCCTACAGTGCAATTCAAATATGTAATTTTATATTTATTTTTTGTAGTGTAAAGTAAATAAAATTTCATTTTTTACTCATTTTTTTAATAATAATTTGAATTTATTTAATAAATTATGAATTTTTTGATATTTTTAGGGCATTTTTTAGAGTTTTTGGTCATAAATGCATTTTTTAAAAAGGCATTTTTTTCATTTTTTTAGGGCATTTAAATCCGAGCCCTACTTATGTGATATAACAAATAAATGAAAAATTCGCCGCAGACGCGCTATTCAATGTAATAATAATAATAATAATAATAATAATAATAATAATAATGGCAAATCTCTCGCAGTAGCGTGATATTAATGTACCTAGCGCAGCCCCAGTCCGTGCGGTTTTACCCACGGGATCGTGTTGATCCCAAAGGCATATTTGAGTTGAGTCCATGGGAGGGGGTGAAACTAATTTTTCTTCGATACAAACTTAAAAATAATTAACAGCTCATGTTCTGTTATAATGATAACATATTATAATGATAGACTAGTAATTTATATTCTTAATTATTTATACATTTTTTAAATAAATCAATGTATCATATTCAAAAAAAAATACGAGTCACGGGGGGACAAATGCCCCATTCGCCCCCCCTTCAAATACGCCATTGGTTGATTCACGTGCGATGGATAGGAAACTACCGGAAGTCTTCCGAGGTATGTCTGGAACACTGTACCCATTTGGAATCGTTCGTTGGAACTAGGAACGTCCGCGACAGCGTTGAAAGATGGCAAGCGACGACAATGTGATTGTCAATCGTGACGAAACCGACACGACGACAAAAAAAAAAAAAAAATGCACGATATTAAAAAATAAATCAATCGTGACGTATTGGACCAGATTAATACTGTCGACGATGAAAACCCGTTGCAGGAAAAGCCCGGACGACTCGTAAGTCCGTAGATTACGTTCGGGACGCGCGCGGACGACAGCTCCGTGACGTACGGTCGCGGCACACGGAGTGAGTCTTCCAGGGCATCGATAGCAGTCCGGGTGCCGGGCGAACAGTCGTACGCCCAGTTTGGAAGGCCGACGGGAATCGAATGTGTTCGGAAATGGCCTTTTGTATTGCCAGCGGACCAGAGGTTTGATCGGTCCGGTGCGGCAGATATGCGCGTATATTGTACAGCAGCTGTTAAATTATCATAATAAGTTTTCGCACGAAATTCAGAATATTTTGTTTTATTTATTCTATTACGAAATATCATTTATTTTTTACCAAATATATTAAAATATATTACTTTTTATTCGAGAAACATCAGTTAAAATAGAGGCCCCTTATTCTTAAACTTAAGTTTTAGGGCTCGATTTACAACATTTCTGGGGGCACCCGGTACCCTCTGTGCGCACACCTGTGCTTCAAGACTTTTGGATTCACCGCGTAAAGATTTAACTTAAATTCTGACTCTGATTTGGTCTTAATCACTTTTGGCTTGGCCAATTCGATTATCCGTTTTAATGTTTTCGCTCTCAAAGCCCGTTTCGGCATCTTGTATGGATCGTATTCCACGTCCAATAAAGTCTGAGACAACAATTTTCTAGACGTGAAAGCCGTTCAATCCACGGGAGGTTCAAAGGTACTATCTTTTTTTTTTTTAAGAGACCGAAGT